GATTCAGTTTTGGAGACATCAGTTCTTTCCAAATTGATTTATAGATTCAATACAATACAACTTACAGTCCTAAAAAGATTGAGTATTGGCGAGTATATGGAGAAATTGCAACTCTCTTAGTGGGAGTACAAAATCTTACAGACACTCTGGAAAAGAGCTAGTAGTTTCTTTAAAAATTAAATACCCATCTCCTACGTGACACAACCATTCTATTCATATGTATTTACCCAGGAGATTTAAAAGTAAATGCAGGTTCACAAATGGAGTTTATAGGAATGTTCACACTACTTTAACTACAAGAGCCAATAATCTGGAAATGAGACAGGTTTGCATCAAGAGATGAATGGACAAATACATTATGGTGTAGTCATATAATAGATTACTTTTCAGCAACAAAACAGAATAAAATATCAAATACAACAATGCAGATAAAGTTGAAAATAACCATGTTAAGTAAATTTAATCAGATTTTCAAAGTACTCACTGTACTAAGACCAATGTAACAACAACAACAACAAAAAACAAGTAGATCAATGGTTACCAGGGCGATGAAGAGATAAAAATGAATAGGAGGGATGGAATGCAGAGAGGCACAAAGAAACTCTTAGGGGTCACTGTCAAGTTCACTATTTTGATTTTGGTGATGGTTTCATGGACACATAATAAAGCAAAACATCAAACTATCAGTTAAACACGAGCATTTTATTTTTATTTATTTTTAAAATCTTTATTTATTTACTTATTTTTAGAGAGTGGAAGAGAGGGAGAGAAAAAGGAAAAGAAAGATCAATGTGTGGTTGCCTCTCGCAAGTCCCCTACTGGGGACCTGGCCTGCAACCCAGGCATGTGCCCTGACTGGGAATCAAACCTGTGACCCTTTGGTTTGCAGGCCAGCACTCATTCCACTGAGCCACATCAGCTAGGGCTTGAGCATTTTATTTTATGTCAAATGTACTTCAATAAAGATATTTAAAACATTTTAGCCCTGGCTGGTGTAGCTCAGTGGATTGAGCATGGGCCTGTGAACCAGAGGATCGTGGTTTGATTCCCAGTCAGGGCACATGCCTGGGTTGCAGGCAGGTTCCCTGCAGGCCAGTTCCCTGCAGGGGATGCACTAGAGGCAACCATACATTGATGTTTCTCTCCCTCTCTCCTTCCCCTCTAAAAAGATAAATAAATAAAAAATTAAAACAAAAACATTTTAAAAACACACAAAACCTTAAATTTTTGATATAGACAAAAAATTACCACCACTAAGATATTTAATTAAAAAGCACATATACTAAGTATCCAATGAGCTAAAAATCAGTGGGAGTTAACAAAGTAAGAAAAGCTCAATACCATCAGCAATAGGGCATAAAGAGTTTAAGCACATACAAAATGATCAAAAAAACCTTGGCTACCAGCATTTTTCATGGGCTTTTTTACTAACAGGTCTTAGTTATAGAGGACAACTGGCCTGGCCAAGACAAGTAGAAAATTCAACTAGAGGATTGTGCTGAAAGATCAGATCCCCCCCCCAATTAGCATTTATATTCTCACATTGCATTTTAATCTTTGTTATAATAATTTATATAACTGTATATTCACTTTATCCAAAACGCCACATCTTCCAAGATGTTTTATGCTATTTAGCATTATCTATGACCACTCCTCCTGAAGATACTTCTTCTAATTCTAACCTTATTTCAACTATAAGCCATTGAAAACTTTCTGTGATCTTATTTTTCCATGTTATGCTCTAAAATATGAGTATTGTTTTAAGGTAGGGCCTTTGGCTCTTCTTTACTGAACCATGCATCCACCTAGCCATACGCGCATTAAAAAACATGTATTAAGTGCCTGTCTTTGTCAGTCTCTGTGCCCGGTCCTCGGTATACCTGATCATCCAAACACACTTAGGTGTCCCTTCCCTCAAATGCCGTCTTCTACCTATGGCCTTCCCTGGTGACTCTTAGAAAATTATTATAAAAACCCATTGCCTTCTCACAACATACAGGTACTCCTCATAAGGTATTTTCAGCATTCTGCCACGAAGGGAATTTCTCTAAATAATCTCTTTAGTCTGGTTGACATCAGAACAATATTGGAAAGGGTATTTTTTAATTAAAACCTTCAAGCCCACAATTCCAATTTCTGTCATTTTATTTGTCAAATTAGATAATTGCACTAGACAGAATTACCCAGTCCAAATTAGATCATCGCACTAGGCAGAATAATGCAGTATTCAAGACTACTGCAATAGAAAAGAGAGACTGAGCTCAATTCCAGTGAAACAAAAGGGTGGAAACTTTTAAAACTCTAGGATGAGCAAATGGAAAAGCCGTGAATGACAGTAGGGGAGGAGGTTGATCAGCAAGCTACTTTTGGCACTTGGAGTTACCCTGAGTTTACCAATGTGTTTCTCTGTAATTAGCCCATTAGTGTTTGATAATTGGCACCCACTGAAGTTAGGTTCTTAGCCGCCCACAGAGACTGAGAGATGGGAGTGGTGTCCTTTGAAATGTACATATCAAAGGGATTGTTCTCTAGTCCTTGAGAAAAACATTTCTTGTTTTGTAAAACTGACTTGAGAAAGGGGGATTTAAATATATTTCAAAGGAAGAGAGAAAGAATTTACAACTGCAAGTTTTCTAAAGTGAATTTAGTAAGAAAGGTGAAGTCTAGGGCCTACAGTCAGAAAGAAATTATCTGAAGTTCAGTGAAAGTTCAGGGGGGCATTTGGGCTGCCTTAGTCAAATTTCTCCAGGAGACTGTTACATCATTCTTGAAATCAACAAGAAAATCAAGACTGACCTTTCAATACAACATAATGATATTTTGGGTCCAAAGTACATGAGAGTTCAAGGAAAGGGGTTATTAGCACTTATCTTTCACCAGTTCTTAATATTTTGAGTCTTAAAATTCTTGTGATAAAGTAAAGGGAAAGTGAACAGGGAGGGGAAGGGCTTGGGAAAGGGAAGCAAAAGATTATTTCTATGAAAGTTTCTACACAAAGAAAATTTAAAATAGTTGTATTGCCAACTTCCCTTCATATAACTCTCCATGTAAGATTAAATTGAACTTTTATTCAGGAATTTTCATGTCCCAGAACACAAGATGAGAGGTAAGAACAACTGAGAAAACCGAAAAAAATATACACTGGGTTTATTTTTACTTACTTTAGGTCAAGCAACACCTAATGACTAACCAACAGGCAAGAATGAATTCTAATTTCTTTATCTAAAACACTCTTTTCATGTTTTTCTTTTGCCCATATCTTCTCCAAAGAAAGAAATATGTTACTTGACATATTTTTTCTGCTACATGAGTATGTTTTTGTCAGTAATGTCAAGGGGTCTGTAAAAGTTCTGTCCAAGTTCAGAAAAAAATTAAAAGACCATTATTTTGCTTCAGAATTCAATAGTTAAGAGCATTTTAGGGCAACAGTTAGTATATTTTTCAGTGCATTATAATCATATGGAGGGCACTACCTTAAAGAGTTATTGATTCAGTAAGTCTAAACCCCAGGCACCTGATTTCTGTAAGTTCTCAGGTGGTGGTGCTAAGACGGATGCTTCAAGAATCACATCTCGCTCCTGGAAGTTTCACTGATTTTTTTTTTTAATATAAGGTCAGCAAATGTATTCTGTAGAGAGCAAATTTGCCTGCCTTTACCAAACAAGATGCAAAATTAAGGAAGTTATGTACAGACTTAAGTAGAGGAGAGAAAACAACTTTCTACAAATTTTTATTCAATTTATGAAAACGATTAAGAAATAATAACAATGGTTATGCAAGTTCTAAATTGCTGGGACAACGCCTATTACTGAGTTTCCCTGTGGGATTTTTTTTAAAATAAAAGATTGCATGGATTAAAAATACCCTCTTTCTCTTAATTCTGGTTATTAATCCCTTCCCCATGTGTATCATAAAGAACACTTAACTGCCCTATTGAGAGGATGATTACACCAAGTCATCTCTAATTGTCCTCTCACAGGAACTGGTTAAAGGCATACAGAAGAACATTAGGCATGGCAAGATTGAAAGGCTTCTCCTTTGAAAGGGAGAAAAGATGCATTTTTTTAAAGAGAGAATTAGGCTACATATATATGGAGAGATTTTGATGTGGAACAAGGGGATCTATGAAGTAAACCCTGATTATCATATTAAAGTAGCAATACGGTTACATGTATACATAGAGAGGAAGCTGAGCAACTCAGATAAGTGGCATGAATGCCTAGATGCAAAATGATCATAAGGAGGTTATAAGTGCCATTATGAAACCAGAAGAGACACCAGCATTCATGCTGCCTGTCACGCACCAAACCCACTAAGTAGAGACAGGGGTTGAATCTTTATATGGGCGCTTTATTCAGACGGCCTGTGATCTGAGAAGATGGCAGGTTCATGCCCTAATGGACCATCTTAAATTTCCTTCCAAGCCAGCCTTTTTATAACAGAGAACAAAGAGTGATGAGGGGTTTGAAATTCAGGGAAAATTAGGTGAAAGAAAACTGCAGCATTCTGGCCCTGGGCAGGTAGCTGTTCCCAGGGGCGTGTGGTCCTGTCTCTCTCTGGAACACAATGGCCCAGATTGCTTCCACTTGTCCCCAGGCAGTAAATTTTAGCAGTGCCCCAGGAGGTCAGCTGTTTGGGGTGGGGGCAGGGTGGGCCTTACCTGTAGTTTCTGAAACAAAAGCTTTAACATATACATTACCTACTAGGCTTATAACTATGTACCTTAAACTAAAAATTTCCAACTCTTGAGTCCCTTATCAATTAGAGTCTGTTTCCTTGCTTAATTATCATGTTCATCCATCTGAAACACAAAGAAAGTGAGCAGTCAATGAATAAAGACTGAAAATTTTTTAAATTTATGTAAACAGTGATATTTAGGATTTAAAAGAGCATATTTCCAGTAAATACATTAAACATTTTCTTTTTACCTGCTTTTGAGTTAAGAAAATGTATTTCAGATCCAAACTGGGCTACTCAACGGTACTTCTTGTATCCAAAGTTTATATGCAGCACTGATTTCTCCATTTAATGCAGTATCCGTAATCATACTCATCATCATCACAAAACGTTTTACATATTCCTTTCACTTTTTCGCATCTCTCAAATCTATACTTTGGTTCAAAGTTACTTCCGGCTGCAATCAAGAAAGATAAAGTCACCAGTCCAGTTTTTCACTTGGGGATCTTCTTACTGAGGGGAGAAAAATCTCTGTTCTAAGTCATGAGAGCATGTTTGCGGAAGATGGAGATTCTAGGATGTCAGATTGTTTTATAACATACTTTATCACTTGTTTCAGCAGGTGACCAAACCACAGTTTATTTTCAAAAAAATGTATGTCCTTATCTTATATCTCACATCAGTAATGAACTTCATTTGGCTCCCAGGGCCTCTTGCCTTCCCATCTTTTTTTCTTACTTTATTAAGACCAGTTTTACTCACACATGTCTTCATGAAGATGATGCTTATAATATTTAAAACATATGCAGTTTTCATTTGCATTTGTTCTCAGTGTTTTAAACCTACTCCTATTGCCTCTTCATAGAATCATTTGTTCAATGCTTTCTTCTCCATCCAGATGTCCCTCTTAATTGAAATAACCTTTCATTTACTAGAACAAATGGATATGTCCCTTTTGCCAGCCTACAGGTAATGGATGAACAATGTAATATAACATAATTTAGTACTAAATTATATGTATTTTTCTTAAACATTTGTTACACTTTTATTCTTGCAGCCTAAATAAAAACCCTTACATGTTGGTTATGATTTATTCTGACTCTTTGTTATCTTCTACCTGGTATAGCCAACAATTATAACATAGTAGGCATGAAGATAGTCACCGACAGAGTAATTTACTGAGGACATGAAACCACTTTAGATAGACTCATACACATAGAAACACAGTTTTGTTATAAATTAAATATTTAGTAAAAAAAAGAGCCTGATGTTAGTCTTCTAGTCTGTTGTGAATCACGTGAGATAATGCAAAGATGCATGTTCTGAGACTCCAAACTCACAGCTTTGTTTTTATACATTAATCTATAATAAATGGCAGTATTTTTGTTACTTTAAGATTTTATTTTTTCTTAATGATTCAGTTGCAACCAATTCATTTAAAGAGATTTGAAGTCAGGATTATTTATTTGCCCCCAAAATGTTATCATAGTCCTGATGTATCTTGGATAAAGTCATTCCACCTTCCTACAGAATAGAATAAACACAGCTAACCCAAATATATTTTGAATATTAAATTTTACATGTTTTGGGAATAATAAAGAAAAACAATTTCATTAAAATGTGGAGAATGAATTGAATTGAATTTAGATTAAAATTATATAATGTCAACTCACAGAACCTAACTGCCTGCCTCATACCTAATTGAAAGTCAGGATGATTTCATTTCAATTTCATATGTCAGGTGTTTATCTGAGCACCTAACTTTCTCTAAGCATTAGGTTGAGAACTGGACAGAAACTTCAAATCTATAGAATATAGAGAAGACTCAAATGTGCCAGTTTATTATTGTCAATAAAGTTAGAAGAAAAGAGAAGGAAGTTACACTTAAAGTGTAAGGAAGTGCCACACAGGCTCTGACACATGAGTGTGTGTATCTCCTGTGGGAATGGGAAACTAATTCGCCATGACAGAGTTCCTGGCCACTGGGGAATTCCTGGCCATGGATGAGAACTGATGCTTGACATAATTTAAAGTAAGGAAGAGGGTGATGTATTATTGAACTTAATTAAAAAAAATACTTTTGCTGAGGCAAGTACTTTTTAAGCTAATCAACATTCCTAAGACCCTATCTTGTCAACCCACCAAATCCATGCTGATCTCTAATATGCGTTAAATTCAGAAAAGAGAACTATGTATTTATAATCACCCTTAGTAAAATTAAAAATATACTCATGTCTTTTTAATTTTCTCATTATTTCAAAGAATGGAAATATTTAAAGTCATGAAGAAATCTACAAGACAATATGATCTGGAAACAAAAAGCAAATGTAGCAAAATTGGTTGTATCACATCTTAGTTATTGCAAAAAGCATCATTTTAGAATCAAAGCTATGTCATGTGAAAATAACAATCTCAGTGTTTTGTGAAAATTGGCTATGTAATATGTTATAAACTGTATAATGGCACACAGATGTCATATATGGGTACATAAGCATTAATGTAAGGTGACCAGAACTAGTTAACACATAGCACATAAAAACAAAAATGAATGTCTATTTGGAGGAAGGACACATAACATCTGTTTCATCTACTGAAACCTCTTGTACATTCTAAACATCACTGCTGAAATGAGACCTGTCCTAATGAATTTTTATGTAAAGAGAAAAATGCAAACTCTAGTTTGGGGCCCTGTAAGGGATATGCATTCCAGAAAGGTCCCTGGCAGTCTGGAGCAGAACAACGTGCTATGGGTGTGGTGGGGGTGTGTCGTGGACAGCAACACCTAACAAACAAGTCCTGCAGGGACGTGCATGGCTCTCTGTAAGGAAACCAGTGGTTAAATGTTCAGCCACCCCCACTCATGGATTCAATGTGAGCTTTCCCAGGCTTTGTGGGGAGTTCTCTACACTTCCAGGAGAAATGTCTGGCATATATCTCCCCATCTCCTAGCATATTAGTTATCTACAGATGATTTCTTTGCCTGTCTCATAATGTTCCCTGCAAATAGAGAGGCAGAGAGGGTAGGTTTGGAAGATGTCTGTGTTTACTGAGTCCAATTTGAAATCAAGGTAGGAGCAAGGCCATAGGTCAGTGGAAGTTTGTATAATTTGTCTGAAAGGGTATGATCTTATAGAATCAAATATGACTAGGTTTCAATTCTGTATACTGTATTCATTAGCTGTGATATAGCAAACAAATGATTTGGTTCACGCTATTTCAATTTCCTCATGAAATTGAGGTTTTTGTGAACTTTTCAGTTATAATGACAAAATACATAAACTTTTACAGTGTTAGAAAATAAATCTCTTCAAAGTTATTCACATATCCTTTGTTTTGACTTTCCTTTTGGATTCACATGTAAAAGTGACCCTGGTAAAGCACTGGTATTAGTGCTTATGGTGTGCTCTACCAAAAGCAAAAATCTCCAGTCTTACAGCACTAAATGCCATTCCTGTTTACCTTGTTCACTGACTTACTTTACCATTCAGCAAAGTGCTTGGAACAACATACTCAATCAGTTTGCAACTGACAAAATGACTGAGTTAATGAATATGTTATCACAGAATCTAAGTTATCCCTGGCTGGTGTAGGTCATTGGATTGAGTGCTGGTTTGCAAAACAAAGGGTTGCCAGTTCAATTCCCAGTCAAGGCACATACCTGGGTTGTGAGCCAGGTCCCCAGTAGGGGCATGCCAAAGGCAACCACACATTGATGTTTCTCTCCCTCTCTCCTTCCCTTCCCCTCTCTAAAGTAAATAATTAAAATCTTGGGGGGAGAAAGAATTTAAGTTTATGTGGTCATCAATATGAGTGATTTTTAGATTTGTGGCAGATTTTTATATACTACCCTTTAGTAACTCACTGATTTTTCTTTAACTTTTAAATGAAGAGAATGCCTTCTCTCATGATTTCTACCCATGATTTAGTAAGCAACTATGTTGTACTCAGCCCTGTGCTGAGTAGTAATGCAAAAATAAATAAAAAAACTAAGTACCTTATCCCCAAGAGGCAGACGATGTTTGTTGGGAGGTGATATAGAAATGGAAAAAATACAGTATCACCAGTGGAGACAGTTCTGACATATAAATAAAAGGTCCTCACAGCACATAATAAAGAGCTGTAAAAACTTCCGGAAAACTCTATTCTACTGTTATTTCTACTACTACAGCTACTGCTACCACAGCCATTATTAAGAGCTATGCTTTAGTAAATGTCCATTAGGTTTCAGATTCTTTACTGAGCAAATTCTTATCTGATTTAATGCTCTAACAATTCTTTAAAATACCTATCTCATTTCACCCATCCGAACAACTGAAGTCAAGAGCTCTTAAACAAGGTTCCAGGGGGAATAGAGGAAAATAAATTCACAGGTAGTCCTGTTGGATTCTGAATCCCTTTTCTGTGTGTTTGAGCACCTCAATGAACATGTGACTTTTGGTTGCATCTTGAAAAGCTGATAGCATATTTTCAAGGGATTGAGGGGAGGCCTAAACTTTGATATGGTATTTTGAAAGAATTTGTAAACAATGGAGAATGCTGTGATTCTCAGCATGACTGAGGAGATAGGGACGTGGGCTTCAGCAAACACAGCAAAGTCATATTAGGCACACCTGGCAAAAGACCTATAAAGCTGTGGTGTTGGACATTATTGTGAATGAAGCAGAGAAACCACAGAGCTTTTAAGTACCACTTTCTCAAAAATTGTGTAGCAGAGAGGCTATGTGGTGGATTGCTAGAACATTCTAAATATGAAATACTGAGAAACATAATTAAGTTAACGGTATTTCAAAAAAGAGATAAAGAAGTGAACTTAGGATATAGTTACAAATTAAAAGCAGCTCAGTTAATGTTTAGATTTGGGGGAAGAGTGCTGGGAAGTAAATGATGTGAAGTGTTTTAGATCTTAACACTGTGTGTTTGATAATAACAATCAGTGAAACAGAATAAAAACAAGGGGACATGCTTTAACCTTTGTGAGTAAGATGAGTTCTATTTTAGACATATCTCGATGAAAGAATGATTTTGGGGACCAGCCAGATAAGTAAGTTCTATGACTTGTAATAAATTCAGTTTTATGGTTTGGGAAGGAGATTGTGAAAAAAATTTGCTGACAGAAGAAATTATTGTACTAGACAAAATAACCTTGGGAAAGGGTATAAAACAAGAAGAAAAGGGATTTAGGAACAAAACACTAGAGGTCCCTGCATTTAAAAGACTATCAAAAATGGAGAACTCAACTAATAATTGTTAAACAATTGACCAACTAAAGTGCTGTTCAGAAGAATTGAAGTAGGCCTAGGGGTTTGATTTTAGAAAAAAAATACCATTCACAAGAAGATTTTGTTCATTGCTGTGGGTGAGTGTACCAGGGAGAAGAGTGTGTAAGAGTTGATGAAGTTGGAGACAACAAGTTTAGGCGGCTTTTCAAGATGTTTGGCAAAGAATAGAATAAGGCAAATCAGAAAGTAGCTTGAAGAAAAAACATCTCTTCTGAAATCGAATTCTACCTGTAGTACATCCAGAGTCATGTCATTCCTCATCACTGTCCTTGTTGCCACCCTGGACAGTGCTGCCATAATGTATGACCTATATTACTTCAGTACCTCCCAAACTCCTGAAAGCCCTTCAAAGAAGTCTTTTTAAAACAAAATTTAAATCATGCTTTCCCTTTGACTAAAACCCATTGGGTTTATCTCAGAATAAAAGTCAAGACCCTTTCTAGTTTCTAAAATCTCTGGGTGATCTAGCAACATGCTCCCTTCCTGATGAAACACCCTCCCCAGGCACCTGCCTCACACACATCCCTCACAGAACTCAGTGGGCTCCCATGACCATGTCTTTGCCCCTTTTGCTCAAATGGCACCTGCTCAATAAAGACCCCCTGAAAAATTCTATTCAAAATTGCTATAGTCTGCCATCATTCTGGGGTCCTTTAACTCTGTTTGATTTATTATTTTCTAATTTAATTTGCTTATTTATTATGTTTATGCTTGTATTTTTCTCTACATCTAAAATATAGCTCCACAAAGATAGAAAATATTGCTGGCTTTGCTTATTGATTTGTTCTGACCTTATAGTATGGCCAATACATGCTAAGTTCTCAGTGAGTACTTACTAAATTCATGAATAAATGAGAGAGGGGATGTGGAACGCAATGTCGGACTCACATACTACCAGTGTTATGAATTGACATTGATCTTCTTGGGGGCAGATCCTGTGTCTTATTCATTTTTTAACTCTATCTAATAGGCTAGTATTTAAAACTCAGTTTGTGAGGAATAACTATCAGTTCCTTAAAACAGGAGCTGTGATATTTTAATCTACAAATCTAAAACCCATGACATTACACCTGAGAAGAGGGAAGGCATTAGTCAAATGTTGTCTGAATAAATAAATTCCTCATGGAATTAGTTATTGTCATTGCCCCAAAACATTAAGGTAAAATAAATCTTGAAATGGGCTGGGCTTGAATATTTGGAATCTGGTTGAATTCTAATTCTTTTCCTCTTAGTCCTGTGCTGGGTTTGGTGGTGACAAACCTCACTTCAATATAATATCTTTAATGGATGCAAATGTGTATTGTGTAAATAACAATAAAACACTGTGTCCAAGACTTGGTGATATTAGTTCATCAAGGTCCATGCTAATCGAGACTTACAGAAAACTAAAAGCTAAAGGACATACACGATGCCATAGAAATTTAGATTCTGGGCCAAAGGAAGGGAAAGTGCAAACCTTCAGGTTTTTAGAGTTAATGAGTTTAATATTATCTAACTGGTTTGTCCATCACTCCACTGAAAATTATAGTATATGAAAAAGAAAATTGCCAGAATTTTCCCCATTTGTAAATATTTGCCTTTTTTTTTCTTAAAAAACTTTTTGTTAATGAATGCTGAGGGCAAGATAAATAATTAGTGACACCACTCTTTCTCTAAGGAACAGACTGCAGAATTTTGTCAAAGGGACCTCTAAAGTTTTTAGTGGATATCATCACACACAGCCCTTAAAAGATTTCTCCAGGGAATGATATTAATTGCATAGTTGATGCTTATACATTCACGTTCTCTTTCAAGTTAGTCACATTTGTCCATTGGACAGAGGCAGAGCACTGTTACTTGAATATACACTGTTATACACAAGGAGGAGTCAGCACAGACATTTAGATGGTTTTAGTTTCGTTTGTCAAACACTGAAGGATGGAGGGTCTGCCAGTACAGACTAGTTTATGTGAAGAGATGTTTCAAGTGCCTTCCACATCTCTCACCATTTACCGCTACTCAGTGACCACTGAAAAAGTTGGTTCTTATTTGGCCCATATTAATAGTACACTAGGCTTCTCAATTCTATATTGTAGGTCTTGATGTAATAATGGCCTGGAGTCTGCTTAGGTAGGATAAATAATAATCAAACTTTTATAACAATCAATTAATTTTACTAATCTTCTTTTCAACATGGCTGATCTATTTATTGTCCAAAGGTTAGGCTATTTTTTTTCTGGAGTCACCAATATATCACCTCTGGTTCATATATACTAACACATGATAATTTCAAATAGAAATTTATTCTCACAAGAAACAGAAAATGTATTTACTACCTGAAAACATTTCTGTCCATTTTCATTTTTAAATTTCTGTGAGAATAAGTACCTACTTATAAACCAGAGGTTCTAACCTGGGCCCCTCACAGAGGATGTTTGGCAATGCACATAGACATTTTTATAGTCACAGTCAGTGGAGGGAGTGTTACTCGCCTTTTGTGGGTAAAGGCTAGAGATGCAGGAAAATAACCTGCAGCTAAAGGCAGAACGCACAACCGCAACAAAACTGTCTGGACCCAAATATCAATAGTGGTGAGGTTAAGAAACCCTGTTTAAATAAATATTGTAAAAATAATTTTGGAGATTTTCATGCCACAAGGGAACAGATTAGGCAGTCAAAGTCTATTGTTAGTTGTTGAGAGAGGGAAAAGACCATGCACATCTGGCTCCAATGTATGCTGAGCAAAGAACCATTTCATAGTGGGAATTCATGCACTTATTAAAACAAAACTAAAAATTAAACAGTCTCTTGTGACAGAAATATATCTAGAAACTTTATCAAAATGAAAAATATTCTTTCTCTGTGCATGTCACTATAATAGATAGTTTCATGTGAAATAGATCCTTAGATCTCATACCTGCATTTAGAAGATGGAATGTGATGTTGTGAATACCAAGAGAGTAGATGGGGCCTAGAAATTCTTTGGCTTCTTATCTGAGTCCAAGTCTGATCCACATATATTCATTCAAAAATTTTCCTTTTTCTTTAGTTAAGTTACCAATTTATTTTTCAATTTTATTCTGGGAGAGAGGGAATTTTCTAACTGTTTCTATTACTATGTTGTAGTATTGATGCTTTTTAAAAATCTGAATTAGTACAAATTACTAAATTGTCTTTCCAAACTGATAGAAGAAGAAGATTTTGTACTTTTGAACAGAAACTGTATGATACAGAGGTATGATTAAGAATGTTGTGGAGAGGAATTCAGGATGAGTGGAGCTGAAGAGTGAAGATTACTCCCCCTTTCTTTCACTTCTGTACCCTCAGGGTCATTTCCCAGGACAGAGGAGGTGAATGCAGCTAGTAGTCAGAGTTTCTTACTTCCTTTGTCAAAATATTCAATTATGGCCATGACCCAAGTGTCTCTATTTACTGAGCATCGTCCTGCAAACCCAAAGGTTGCCAGTTCGATTCCCTGTCAGAACACATGCCTGGGTTGCAGGCCTGGTTTCAGTTGAGGTGCATAGGAGAGGCAATCGATTGAGTTTATCTCTCCCATCAATGATTTCACCCTCTCTTTCTTCCTCTCTTACCTGCTCTCTTAAAAGATAAATCAATAAATAAAATCTTTAGAAAGATTCAAGTATGTATAGCCTCTTCACCTTTTGGAAATTTTTCTCCTCCTTTCTTACTCCCTCTTCTATTTCTTGACACACATATTTTTCTCCACAAAATAATAATTATAGAAATTGGAGTTTGTTGTGATTCCCCTCTGCTTTCCTAAGTCATTTTCTGACTTAAGCTCTGTGTGTCTCATGAAAAGGATTTGCACTCTCAGTGTCTACTCTTTTAAGTCCCATGGGTTCACATTTTTTCTTGGGATTATCTATGGAACAGTATTAAATATTTTATATAATAAGATAATAATAGCACATTTCTACTGTAAGCTTCTATCGGAAATACGCTCCTTCCATTTCTTTGACCTAGGGTTTCTCGCATTATTTATGTCAACTCACACAAGGCACATAGACCTTTAAATAGTCATTGAGGGTTGTCCATAAAAAAAAAAACATTCTGTTTACTCTGGTACCAAGAGATCAAGCAAAAATGCAATGTACAGGCACCAGATGCGTGTGTGACACAGAACCACTTCTGAATGGTTCAATATTGAATTTTATTTAATTCCTTGTGTATTACAGAGATACACAGGCCTTGAAAGATGTGTTGGGAAGTCTTAATAACACCGGTCCTCTCTTCTTGGACCATGTGTCTCTTTCTTTTCTTCTGTCATCTTTACTTCTGCAAGCAGCAGTGAGTTGCAGGTCTCATGCAGTAAGCAATCCTAATTTCATTCTCGTGGCACTCATTTTTACACCGACCATTACCCTTTTTGCACTCTCTCCTCAAATCCAAGCTACCATACTGGGGATATTTCTTTCTGGCTGTAAGAAGGAAAGAAGGACTGAAATTAGCAACCTAGCTATGACATACCCATATTTTAGAAGGAGAAAGGTCAGGAAGCAAAAGATAGTAGAACAAAGCAAAAGAGCCCCATTTCTAGTTTATGACTCAGTCATTGGTTCAAGGTCAATCATGGAAGTCAGAAAGTGTCTTGGACCTAAGTGAGGTGTGTCATCTTGTTATGTGACCTTCCAAGTTAACTAGATGGTAATTTAAGGATAGCTCCCAAAGTCAACAGGAAAAAAGTGTTCATAATTTATCTTCTGTCAGGTTTAATCTTTACAACCATCTAATTGTATTTGGAATCACCTTTTCTGCTTTCACAAACACTATTTAGATGGAATGAACAATTAGATGATTGTCCTAAAATAGAGATAGACTCATAGATAAAGAGCAAGCTGACAGATATTGGGGGTTGGGCTAGGTGGAGTCTGTGAAGGGATTGAGCAAAAAAGAAAAAAAGACAAAAAACTCATGGACAAGGACAACAGTGAGGAGATTGCTGGGAGGACAGGAAGTGGAGGGGGGTGGATGAGGGAATGGGGTGAAAAATGATGATCGATGGAGACTTCATTTGGGGTCATGAACACACAACACAATGTACAGGTGATGTGTGGTGGAACTGTCCACCTGAAACTTGTAAAATTTTGTTAACCAGTGTCACCTTGATAGATTTGACAAAAAATAAAATAAAAAGTTGAGAGAAGGGCAATGTTAGGCAATTTGACTTTCTACAACTCTTGTGGGTATTTTAAGATGTACTTCCCCAGAGAAATAATCTAGCTCAGCTGGTTAGAGCATCATCCCTACATGACAAGGTTGTGTGTTCTATCCTCCGGCACATACAAGAATCAGTCAATGAATGCACAAATAAGTGAAATAACAGAGAGATGCCTTTCCCTCTCTCTTCCTTCCTCTATCCTCTAAAATCAATTTTTTTAAAAAAGAAATCATCTAACTTAGACGCATGTCTGATGACAACATTGATTTAAAAAATGGAAATGTCTAAAAGGTGTGGTCAATGTTCGCCATGACCTGATTTCTAAAATTACCAGGGCTTTCAGCTACATGTTTTATCTTGTAGCTTGGAAATTAATACAATAGAAGCGTATTATTTAGGATAGTTGAAGATACTTGGGAAATTGGGGGATGGGTCTGATAGGCTGTAAGATTTATTCCAAGATAATTACGTTTTAATTTAATATTTCTCATTATAGGCTGGCCCATGTGTTTTCAGGATCCCTTTGTTTTGGAGTCTTTTTTTGTATACGTAAAATGTTCAATAAGTAATGGCATTACTCATACCATGAGATTAAGGGCAGCTAGTATGGGAGAATTCTAAATTTTGCAGGCGTCTGACCAAAGAGTAGACTGAAACATTTTTGTATATTTGTGGTATGAAATCAAATACATTTGTCCATTAGTTTCTGCCATTAATTACTGTTTTATATCCCAATCAGTCCCTTTAATGACCAGGCCTTTCTTCCTGGACATTCTGTCTGCATTTCCAACAGTTTGTGGTGAGAAAAGATACTTACTAGTGAATTCCCAGATTCAAGCCACATTATCCATATGGTTGGTATAAATAGCTGATATAAAACCTAGCTCTTCCATTCAAATGAGCTCTTTTCTCACTATAATTGAAGAGGTTCAGAATATGGCTTACAGCAGAAAAAAATAATAACTGTACAAATTAAATATTCACTTCTAAGTATTATTATTTAGACTATAGTTTCTTAGGAATTATTATCAAATTATATGTCATTTGCTAGTGGTAGAAATCTGAATTTTACTCACTTTAGCCAAAGTTCTGTCATATTTGACACTATTGCTCAATATGTGTCACCCCTCTCTTATTACTTCTTTTTCTTATTTCACCTTTCTAAAATTATTGTCTCCTTTCTTCTCATATGGACCTCTGAATATAAGTATTTCTCAATATAAGTGTCTTTGGATCACTAATATTCATCTTTGCAAGCATGCATCCACTCATTCAACAAATAAGTACAGTTGATCCTGGAACACATCAGGGTTTAAAGTCACCAACCCCCTACAAAATCAGAATTCCAGCTATAACTTTTGACTCTCCCAAAACTTAACTACTAGTAGTCTACTGTTGACTAGAAGCCTCACCGGTAATGTAAACAATTGATCAACACATATTTTGGATATTATATGATTATATTACATTATCTTACAATAATGTAAGGTAGAGGAAAAGTACAATTATTATTTTTATTTTAAAAATCTATTTGTAATTGGACTCACACAATTCAACCCTGTGTTGTTCAGGGTTCAAATGTACATTCCATGTTAAGTTCCCTGCCCATCTCTAGAGCAGAGTTTCTCACCCTAAGAATATTGACCTTTGGGTTGGACAGTTCTTTGCTGTTGGATACTATCTTTCCTGTTTACTGAAGAATGTTTAACAGCATCCCTGACCTCTACCCACCAAATTCCAACAGCACCAGTTGTGAAAACCTAAAAGATCTACAGACACTGCCTAATATTTCCTCGGGGGCAAAGTTGACTCTCATTGAAAACCACTGGTCTTATGATGCTATGATTAAGCCAAACATATTTTCTCTACCCTCAGATGTACAAATACAATCTTCTCTCTGAAATCTCTGATGACCACTTTCAAGAAAGTAATCTCACTTTTCATTGTTCTCATATGCAATATTCATATTGCATACTAGATTTCTTTAAAACAGTATATAAAGTCCTAGTTAATATGTAAGCAAGAAATGAGCTAGATAATTCCTAAAATATATTCAACCCATAATTTCTTGTTTTTACTCATCTATTATTTTATTCTTTACCATTCATCTCCTTGGAAACAGGGACAAACACAACCACCCTTTCAGCACAAAACTACACTATCTATCCTATAATCACAGTACATACTGGATTTAAAGAAAAGTGATTACTGGCAAAAGCACACTTCTCAATTGGACGGATAAAGTGAAACAATAAGTGATAATAAAAGAACACCTCATTTCTAGACATTTAGTACATTTATGAACTCTAGAAAATGAAGAAGAAAACTAAGTGACTTCACTGGAAATTTTCCTAAACAGGAAAGTTAAGGACTTCTATCTAGACAATTTTTTATCTGTAACTATCTTGAGTTTACCTAGCTCAATTTTGAGTAAGAATTTTTGCCTTCTGGAGGTGAGATGTTAAAGACAACTGAGGAATGATAGAAGATTGTCAAACAAATGACATTTAATTTTATTCAATTTAGTTCAACCACCATATGTTGGTGAACTATAAGATGAAAGACAAGGTTCTTATTTTTTTATTTTCTAAAATGTCTATATTCTATATTGTACATTTTTTTATTTTGTGGAGAAAATATACTCATCTTGACATGCTTCTTTTCCTCTGGAATTTTTTTTTTGTCAATAATGGTGACCGTTATCTAAAGTTTTTCACATTGTGATTAACAAGGAGAATGACCTCATTTTGTAAATACAATAAAAACAGCCCTGGCTGGTATAGCTCAGTGGATTGAGCACGGGCCTGTGAACCACACAATCGAGGTTCAATTCCCCATCAGGGCACATGCCTGGGTTGCAGTCCAGCTCCCAGCAGGGGACTCATGAGAGGCAACCATACATTGATATTTCTCTCCTTCTCTCCTTCCTTTCCTCTCTAAATATAAATAAATAAAATCTTTAAAAAATACAGATAGTTAACATTGATGGTGTAATCTATGTCACTATATCCCCAAGTAGTTTATAGTTAATGAGACTACAAGACACATAAATTTAAGTGTGTTGATAAGTGTATGAATATATTCAGTTATCAGTATGGACACATGATGTGACTGTTATAAGGGAAAATAAATGAATAAAGCATAAAAACAATCCTATCACTTGTCAATAGTGATATATGTTAGCTATTATTGAAATTAAAAGAAAGAAAATTTATCAAATGTTAATAAAGCTTTACCTTGGCTATTTCTAGAACTGAAAAAAATCTACAGATCTTTTTCTAACAATTTTTAAATGATGGAAGAGGAAGTTATTTTCTTAGCTAAATTAACAACAGCATTACTTCGTTAACTTTATTGATGCTTGGGCCCTATTTAGAATCTAATTAATCAGTTTTTTATGTGTAAATTTTTAGATTGTCATAATGGACTCTCTAATATTCATAATGAAAGATAAATTAATTTAGTCTCGTAGACCTCAATTACAACTCCTATTAGGTCTAAAAAATTTGTCCAGGTACTAAAAATAAATATTTTCTTCTGAGTTAGGGAATTTGAGTCTGATTTTAGTGCAAGCATCATAAACTAGGTAAAACTTGAGTCCACCCTTTAACCTTAGCCTCTTTAAGAAGGGAATAGAGTCAATGACTGCTCCATCTTCAAAACTTATTATTCTACTTACGTGCACTTAATACTTACACATTAATTCAAGAGAAGAGAATCTTGTTACATACCTGATGTGAAGATACAGTCCTTGAGGGGGAAAATTTTCTCATGAAAAGTAGAGCTCATATACTAGTATTACACTCAACATTCATGTGATCTGTAGCACTCAAAGACATAAGAGTAGTGACTAGAAATATTTAAAGAAAGGCCAAGAAGGGACATGATTTGCTGAAAGTACCAAGAACAGACTATTAAGAAAGGCTTTCTAGTGATTGGAAGTAGTATGCTAAGCATAGTTTTTTTTTTAAAGGAAAAAGTAAATAGTTTGTCTCTGAACACTGTTTCCTACTCCTTATTGGTTGATTATGCTAAAGAATATTTTTTTTTCCAGCAAGAATGGATTGTAACTGACTGGTGCTACAGGATAAAGTTGGTGAGAGTTTTCATCTTGAAATCATTTTAGATTTATAGGAAAGTTGCAAAAATAATAAAGGCCAACTTCCCCTCTGCTAACATTTCACTTAATCACACCACTTTTATCAAAACTGAGAAGTTATCATTGATGGAATAATATTAACTAAACTATAGACTTCACTTATGTTTCTCCTGTTTTCAAACTAATGTCCCCTTCATTTTTCTGTTCTAGAGTAACACAATGCTTTTAGTATAAAAAATGCTATAATCCATCTGTTGTTACCATGCTTTTAACAAGAAAAACTGATTATTTCCTCAAATTCATTAGTACAAGTGTACCCATAAATGTTTCTATGTTACCTGGCAAAATCGTGACCCAGAGGAGCAGAATAACAAAAAAGAGATGAATCTTCATGGCAGAGACTTTCTTAGGAAAAAAGTGTCCACAGATCTTTTCTAAGTCAGGGTTTTCACATAAGAAAACAGAGAACCCTTTTTTATTTATCAATTGTCCTGAGAAGTGGTTTTGACTACTGAGGCTTATCAACAGCAAGAACATTTGTATGCTTGATTGAACTGTGCCATGTTCAAAGAACATGGTCATAAAAATTAGTGTGAAACTTTCTTGTGAAAGTAATGACTGATTATGTTACCTTGGATATGCTGCTGTCTGGAAACACAATCCTTAAAGGACTTTTAAAAGATATGAGTTGAGTTGCCAAAACATCATAGTGAAAAATATTACAGATGTACAATCCTTTCTTATATGTTACATAGAATTATAAATATTTTAATGCCTTTTAGATTAAATTAATAAATGAATCAATAATATAGAATTTTATAGCTAGAAGTTTTCTTTGAGATTACTTCTATTTGCAGTTGAAAACAATGAAAACCAGGAAGGTTGAATGTTTTAGTTCAATTCATATAATATGTAATTGTTTAAATGTTACATAACCAGGAAATTCTGGATTCATTAATGAATATGGGAAATACTTAACAGGTTTTTCTGTATGAAATAAATTCTTATAACAAGTTATTTGATTTCACAATTCTAGGTCCAGTGTTTTTCATTCTGTTTATGGAACTGGAAGTGATTTGTGATCCAATTTGCATACCACCAAAGTTTATTATTTCAGATACATGCAGAAGAGCTGCAAGTTTTATAATATATCCAGAAGCTGATGCTGCAGTCAGAGGACAACTCATCAATTATCTCCTACCACTGAGTCAAGAGAATTTCTGGGGCAGTGGTTCTTAAACATGAGCTGCATCAACATCCCCTAGAGGGCTTGTTAAGAAAGATCACATGACTCCTCCCACAGCATGTCTGATTTAGTAGGTTTAGAACAGGGTCTAAGATTTTGCATTTCTAACAAAATCCTGACATGCTAATCCTGCTAACAGGGCCACATATTCCAAGAAACCTGATTCATTTATGCTATAAAAATCAGAAAAATAAATTACATACCAATAGAATCTATATCATAGGCTAGTAAAGAATGTAGGACTTCTTAGAGATTTTAATCAGGTCCACTGATGTTACAGGCCAGGGAAGTGAGATTGAGAGAAATTAACTTACTTGCCTAACAATTGCTATCTGTTACAAAAAAATTTAAATTATAAAATAAAAATAGAAACTTTTCATTTAAATAAAAAGCGAGAGCCCTGATTTAGCTAAGCATTCTTTCTGGCAAAGGAACAACAGGAGCATTCAGCATCAGCAGACAGGAAGAAGACCACTTCAGTATATCACTGTGTAGCATTTATTCACCAAATATTTACCGAGCACTAAAATTTGCCAACTTGGAATCTGCTACAAGCTGATGGCATTTTCATGGGAAAAAGAAACAGTGTAAATATAAACCTGGGGACTCCGGCCGGGTAGCTTGGTTGGTTAGAGCATCACCTTGACATACCAAGTTTGGGGATTCAATCTCTGGTCAAGGAACATACAAGAATCAACCAATGAACGTATAAACAGGTGGAAAAGCAAAGCGATATTTCTCTTTCTCCCTCTCTGTCTCTCAAAAAATCAATAATTAAAAAAAATTAATCTGGTGGGTGACATCAACCAAAATGATAGGATAAGGACCTCTGAGAATCTATTCCTCAAAAAAAAAATTGGAAAAACTGCTGAAAACTGCCAGAACTCTGGAAATAAAGCAAAGGCTTACAACAACTCAGAGAGTACTAATTCTAGAAAAATTGACCAATCTCTCAAGCAGAGTGAGCTTTGTGACATTTTATCATTTTCTAGTCCCATCCCCTACACCTCAGTTCAGCAGAAAACTTGAAAAATAATGACCCACATTCATGATACCTGGTGGGGTGGGACATGGCCAGGGTTCTTTAAATTCTTGTTCCCAAAGAACTGTCAATTTATGGTGTAAGGTAGTTTCCTGAAAGACCCCATTGAAAGGCTCATCTTTATTTCTCCTGACTCAGAACATGTGCTGTACTAAAGACACTCCCAAGGAGAATTTTTCAGAAATATTTACAGGCCAGTGTTTTAGTGACTGTTTTCTGAGCCTGGAAAACACTTCGGGCAAACAACAGACTGACTAAAATGTTTGGAAGAAAAGGATGAGGTAGAAGATATGTATAGAGTCTTTTTGAAAAATTCTGACATATTCCTGAGAACCTAGAAGGCAACTTGCATAGGAGACATTTGGCTGTTACTGTACTATGAACTGAAACTGATTGCAATGAAACACAATTGCCTGTCCAAGCCTTTTGCTGGAAGTTGCAGCCTTCAGTTGATTATTCCAAGTTCCAAATAGGTATATCAGGCAGATTCTGCCAGTGCGATTGTTATTCTGGTGGGGAGAAAGATTCTCCATTATCCCAGAATTCTGTATTTGCTCTTGAATGTTAATTTTAATGTAATATTTTCCATATATGTTCATGTGAATATCACATTTTCTTTTACAATATGGTTTCTCTAAGGTTTTTGCTTTTGTATTTTATTTGGTATTCTGGAAGATTTATATACTTATTCAATGGTTAATATTTGATTTCACTTTATGTTTTATTTTTTGGAAAAATCCAATTACATGTATATTAAATGCCTATGGCTTGTGTTTATATATATTATTTCATTTCAAATGTTTAAAATATTTTGTGTATATATAATTTTTCTTCATTCATATCTAGCATTTCTATGTGCTATATTTTTATTTGTTTTAATTTTGAGTTCATTTCTGAATTTAAAACATTTATTTCTGAAATAAACACATATCTATATGCATTTAAGCACTCTAATTTTTGAGTTTTTAAATTTCTGTTTTTTAAATCAAAATATTAATTATTTTATTAAATAGCCTCAATTTTATGCCAAAATATTGGTTATAATATTTTGTATTTTTATAACATTTTCTATTGTCTGTTAGTATGATAAGCTTATATTTATTATATCATTTGTTGGGTGGATTTAAATCATATTTGATTATAAGTTTTGATCCAAAAAGTTTGACTATTTTTTTTAATAGGGAACCAGTTTGTTTTAAATCTGGCAAATGTGACTCAGTTCTGTATGGGAAACCTACAGAAGCGAAGTGGTGGGCAGGAGCCAGACCTTCAAACTGAATTTTCCCGTGGGAATCAGGCCTAGAAAATGCATCCAGACTGTTATGCCTTGCTCTTGCTAAAACTCCCTCACCCCAGTCTGAAACAGTAGATGTTTATTGCTTATCTTCAAGGTAGTTTCCAAAGCCTGCGTGAATTTTCCCAAGGACAGAGTGTAATCAACTCGCCACCTTTCCCTTCTGCATTTGTTATTTTCATTTCCTTGATTGTACCTAAAATGTAGACAGTGACATTCAATGTAATAGATAATAAACCCTTCTTTGATGTAAGACCCGAGAGAAACAATAAAAGCCTATCTAGTCAAAGGTCAGGGTACTCCCCCCCCCCCCCCGTGAGAGAAGCGGCCGCAGGACTCTCATCTTGAGAGAGCACCCACGCTGTCCTTTTCCCCACAGGACTGCTGCAGTCTGTGTGCGTTTGTTAGCTTCTTCAGCCACAATCCATACAGACTCTGTGGCTGGAGTCTGCCACATCTTTCAGTTCCGCAATCCCTTTGCACTGAAATTATAAGTAATACCATATCTACTCCAATTAAGGCATATTAATGTATGCTCTTACTCTGCGTTTATTGTCATGAAGGCACAATAAATATTGCTGTGTCAGAATGCATTGTTAGCTATTCATTACCTTTTATTTTTATGTATGTAATAATATTTATTTATTTTTAAATTTGTTTTGTTTTTTTCTTTTTTAATTTTTATTTATTTTTTAAAATTTTTATTTAGTTATTTTTCAAGTACAGTTTTCTGTTTATTTCTCCCAGCCCACCCCTCCCCCATGCACCCCACATCCCTCCCTTTTCCACCCCCCTTAGTTCTCGTCCCTGTGTCCTTCCTATTTGTTCCTCCAAATCCCTCCCATTTTTTCCCCTTAAATTCCCTCCCTTCTCCCCTCTGGTCACTGTCCCCCTGTTCTCTATTTCAGTGTATTTGTTCTTATTTTGCTTGCTTGTCTGTTTTGTTGTTTAGCTTCCTGTTAAAGGTGAGATCATATGGTATTTGTCTTTCAACCCCTGGCTTATTTCACACAGCATAATGCTTTCTAGTTTCGTTTCTTAACTGTTTTTGCAATATTGCAAATGAAGATAGTAAAACTACCTTTAAAGTATCTACTTAAACTAGTAAAATATATGTAGTCCATGTGTGCAAGAAATATATGCCCATATAGATTTAAATGTGCTAGGAGTTTGTTAGTGGAAATGCCTGTGGGAGAAAAAAAGGGAGAGAGTCAGGAAAGCTTAGGAGAATCATGGGTCTGTGATTCCAGGCTGATTTCGAATGAAGCAAAGAAAACATTTAGATGGAGGTGCAGTTTGAAATAGGTTCAGCAAGGTCATGGTGGAGTACTCCCCACCAAACCAGCAAGCTGAGCAATCTTGTGTCTCTCAGGGGAATGTCAGCCTTACTCGATACAGCCAGCCATTGACTGGGAGCAGTATGTGGAGAGTGGTCTCAGCACAAATGCAGGGATGGATCTCAGAGTCCACCAGCTGAGGCCCTTAATTAGTTATAGTCACTTTCTCATGGCCCCTTAAACCTGTCCTATGTTTCATGTAGACTTCTTTCCCCTGGGTTTAAAGAATAGCTCCTCCTTGATTCTCATGGATCCTTCTTTCTGAAGGCAAACTTAGGAAAGGGTAACAGTAGGATAAACCTTTTTCCATCACTATTATTCATTACTCAGTCTCAACTGGTACTTATCATCTCCCTTCTTCACTGTCCCTTCTAAATACCCTTCATCCTCAGCTAGCACATTAACAGATTTAGTGACTTTTCTGGATGTAAGACCCAAGCATTGGTCCTTGTAGGTTTGAACCCTGAATAGTAATACATTTCTCAACTGAGTGTTGCTGCACATATCTATT